CCACCAGCAAAGCGTGCTGTGCACCGTTCTCCGCCACCACGCAAGTTGTTTGGAAACTCTCCCAAGCGCCACCATTCTCCTCCGCCTCCAATGCGCCTCAGGTCTCCACCACCTACACGTCGCGGCTCCGTCAACCCCGTGACCATGACCACACGTCAGCGTAGCGACACTTCCATCCGCTTCGCCGGCATTGCCGAGCGCCCTGCACCCACAGTCTCAGCCTCTGTCCCACGCACCCCCATCACCATGAGGAACCCATTTGACCTCGACGAGGACGAAGACGCCGACGGCTCCGACATGCCCATCCGCCGCGCCATTGACATCAAAGTCGGTCTCGAGAAGAAGAGGCAACGACGCAAGGAGAAGTTGTACCGCAAGCAACACCGCAAAGGCGCCAAGGAGAAGCGCCCCGCTCCCGGTCGCGGTGCAGAACGCATGCGCGAAATGGGACTCGCGGTACACGCTCACAAAGGCAAGACAAATGCCTTTCAACCATTTGGAATCCGCAAAGATGCGGATGAGGAGGACATGCATGTTTTGTCTGCGTAGACGACAGACGTGTTGTGCAGGTGAGGATCAGCGCCGCCGTATACATTCGGCATTTTTACATGTTCCCTGCAGTCTGTTGTAGGGCTTGTTGGTCGCTGATCCCACTTTCTCGTAGGGTTGCTATGGAAGCACCCAGCGATTTCAACTTCTTAGGCTCCTTGTTCTTTTCCTCTACTTTGCCTACTTACCTTCTTTTTCGAGCTTCTTCTTTCACTACTTATGGGCTTCTCATGTACATAGCCTTTTTATCTATATTTTGGTCAAATACTTTGGTGTGGCTTCTTCACGTTATATGGTTTTAGTGTCTCTTTTGTTTTTGACTATTGCATCTAGGTGTTTCGCGTAGCATTGATGGCCTCCTCGTAAGGTATAGCGGGTTGAGCGCCGGTTGGGGAGTTTCTGAATTCATTGTATGGGATTTTAGGATCCTGTGATTGATTACTATGTTATCGATGTGTTTGAATTACTCTGCAATGTTTGACTGCATGTCCATCACAATCATCATAAAGCCTGAAGCCAACGTCCTCACAATCTGCCATGACTCTCGTGTGCTCCACCCATCACACACAACATGGTTCGATGATGTAAAGGTACTCCATACCGGCACTTGCGCATATGCAGACGTGCAACGGGTGACCCACTACCCACGAGTGTGACAACCATGGAACTGGCCCACGACCCACAAACGCAGAAGAATTTAATGCCCGATGGATCGGCATCTACTTTGACGTCGGTTACATTTCAACTGCCGCAGGACGCTACTGACCAAGTATGTGTATATGCGCTATGCGAACACGTACGCGTCCTACCGTATTCCAAGGTTGACTTATATGGAGCTAAATAGGTGTATGCGCTCGCGCTCGCAGTAATGATGATACCTACACTATTGCCCTCGTCAATAGTCTCGACAATACACCTAGACACGTTTGAAGCAGGTGGCTTGAATGACATCAAGGAAATGCAGGTGGGTCGCGTGCGCCACCTTACTGAATTGGGCTGGCAGGTGCTAGAGGCCGCGCGTGCTTCAACAGTTCCAAGGGTAGCGCGCGCAGGGTCGCATCTCACGACGGATGCAGTGCGGGTGTGCTGTATACTGTGATAGTTGCACCCTGAGTTGCACGGGGGGCCTGAAGTTGATAGACGAGGATCCTATGCTCGTATTCGCATCGTGCAGCGGGTGCAGCCGAATGCTTGATATGCGACGGACAACGCGTGGGGAAGGCGGGGCGTGTGTGGTGGAGGTTATTTGTACAGTACTGTATGCAGATGTAGTCTATATTCTTCTTGTTTTCGCACTCGAGGTTACAGTATCTGCTTGCGGATAATCTGGAGACATAGTGTTGAGGTAACGACATGGAGGCGTCGGTACCTTCTCGCCCCTGTCATACGTACTACTGTAATGTACTAAGCGTTGACCGATCTAAATATCCCGCCGCGCACTGCACTCCGCAACGCCCTCACCGTATCTCCCATTGGGGGCAACCCGTCTTGTCCATCACCATGCCAACTCCACCGTGAAGCGTCTATCGTCATTCCTCCCGCCGGCTGTCCCCATCGCCGCCCCTCTTCTTTTTCCACAACCGTCTTTGGAACCCTTCACCTCTGCCAGTCGCGTGCCGACCCTCGTTCCTCGTCGACGCCGTCATAGCGCTTCGCTTCCCTTTCACTTGTACATATTCATATTGGTAGTGTCGCCATCCATGTCGCCTCCAGCCACGCTCCGAAGCTCCCCAATTTCGATAATATAGACACGCGCGACCGACTTCGCTCGCGTGACCGACCACGCTACCCGCACCCTCCATCGTCGCTCCGGTTCACGTCGCCCGGATCCCGCTAGCACCCATGCTCATGAAGAAGATGTGGATAGTGGAGGAGCGGAAGGACAAGACTGTATACCGTCGCCGCTGTCCGACCGGCGGAGAAGTCCTCTCCTTCTTCTTCGTCTCGGCATGCGCCCTGCTCTTCCTCATCATCTGCACCATTCTCTACGGCACGCGCACACAGAACCCTTCTTTGCCCCCGCTGGTCAAGGAGTACATGCCCGCCGGCCGCTGTTTATGCGAGTTTAGTACCACGTTCTCCTGCGACACTTGTCTCGATTGCGCTGCAAACCAGGCTATTCTCACGACTAATGCGACCGAGTTGGAGGAACATGGACTGTGGACTTTTACGTATCCAAGGGATAAGAATAATTATGGGCTAGATGAGGCGCAGTGCGATAGCGCTTTTCCGGGGCAATACGAGGATATTGAGCGTGCGGTTAAGGTGCGGAGTCGCTGGGGTAAGGTGACGCAGGCGGATCTCAATAGCTTCGAGCTTACGAAGGGGATGGTGAGGGCTATGGTTTATGATAGAGAGGTTTGTTGAGTCCAGGACAATTGGCAAGTGCTGAGCGCATGCTAACGTACAACAGCTCTACATCCTCGAGACTCACATGGTCGATAACGTCAACCGCCAAAAAGCCATTGCAACACTCAGCGCCATATACCGCGCCGTTCTCGCCGCCCCCTCAACCGCCGACATCCCAAACATCGAATTCGTCTTCTCTGTGGAAGACCTCCCTGCGCAACCCCACAAACCGATATGGTCCCTCACCCGCCGCGTCCAAGACCACAACCTCTGGTTAATACCCGACTTTGGGTTTTGGAGCTGGGACATGCCTGCGCTGGGCACACTAGACGAGGTCGCTCAAGAAGCAGTACAACGGGAAGCCGTCGAGTCGTGGGACCAAAAGATCGAGAAGCTAGTCTGGAGAGGCAAAATCACTTTCGCGCCTAAGCTGCGGAGAGCACTCCTCGATGCAGCAAAAGGCAAGCCATGGAGCGACGTTGGCCAACTCAAATGGACGGATCCAAATTTCAAAGAGCAGTTTCTCGGGCCGGTGGACCAGTGTAATTACATGTTCATTGCGCACGCTGAAGGTATTATACCCCCAACCACTAACAGAGTTCTGCATACTAACAACCACCCTCCAGGTCGTTCCTACTCCGGCTCCCTCAAATACCGCCAACTCTGCCGCTCAGTAATCGTCTCACACAAACTCCAATGGATACAACACCACCACTACCTCTTCCGCTCCAACGGCTCCAACCAGAACTTCGTGGAGGTCGAACGCGACTTTTCGGATCTAGCATCTGCTATGGAAGATCTGCTCGATCACCCTGAAAAGGCGAAGCGCATAGCAGATAACTCGGTGCAAGTTTTCAGGGAAAGATATCTGACGCAAGCGGCGGAAGCGTGTTATTGGCGCAAGCTCATGAAGAGGTGGAGGGATGTTGTCGATTGGGAACCGGTGTTGTTTGCTGGGAGTGGGGAGGATGGGATGGCGAAAGAGAGGAATAGGGTGAGGAGGAGGGGGGTTAGGTACGAGACGTTCATGTAAGTTGCTTTCGGACTCGAGTAAAAAGTGAATATTTGGAGTGCTAACACATCTGGCAGGCTTTACGAACCCAAAATCCAACTTTCGTACCCGGAATCCGCACATTGAGTCTGTACATCAGGCTCACATACATACATGTATATGTAACAGCTGAACTTCTTTTTGGCTAATGTTACATCGTCTGGAGTATAGGCGGGATAGCTATTTGAGAGCGTTTATACCCCATCTGCGTATGCGGCATTTGTGTTTTTGTTCGGTTTGGCAATACGGCTTACTAGATGAGGCGAGTGAAGAAATAGCATGCTATTGCAGTACCATGTAGAGTAGTACGTAATCCACCTTTGGCCTAAAAGTATAATTTTCAAATCCATGGAGTAAAAGCACATCGGCATGTATGTTGTGTGGTAGTCTTTTGATGCGACAGGATTGTTGTAGTATGTTATTCCTGGAGTTGTTGAACTGGTGACGAAGCGGCCAAGCTGCCTCACGTTCGAAGCGCGTGCAAACACGTGAAAGAGGAAGATGGACATATGTGAACATTTCGCTACTGCCACAAAATCTCGTAGACTCGTCTAACTTCCAAAGCAAATCCCAGACCACCCTCACGCCTTCCTGCCCCTGGCTGCTGTCACGGCGCTGACTCTCCTTCTGCATGTCCAATGTCTGACAATGCTGGTCCCTTCATACCAACCAGGTCTCAGGACACCAACCGAGGAGTTATGCACGGAATAGAGTGCGAAAGCGTATGTGTAGAAGCAGTGGTCTGCGCAGCCACGCGGGGTGCCGTGCGAGAGACTTTGCGCCATGCTTGTCTCTGAGAAGACAAGAAGCGTGGTGTCCAATGAAGGTGGTGTGAACTGGTTCGTTTTTCTGGAATGATAACAATTGGGTATCATAACAAGTAGTGGGGGGGTGGGTAGGAAGTAAGTCGTCCGAGCGTTTCTCTGCCGTGGTCCTTGCTTCCGGTAGGGGGGTGTGAGTGCTGTGAGGCCGCCGCTGCGATAGGTTTCCATAACGAACATCCCGATGCGATCGTGTCGTCAGATCAGATAGTCGATCATGTCGACTTGCCTCAAGAGTAGTCGGTAGGCATCCTCCTCGTCTCAGCCTTGACTTCAGCGGTCAGGGCCTCGACCTCAGCAGTCAGAGCGTCGAACTCGGCTCTTAGAGCCTTCTCATCGCCCTCCAGCATGATAGCTCCGGTCCTCGAGAAGAACCTGTGCCAGATGTCAGTATGAAGGTCTCTTTCACACAAGCTGTCAGCAACCCACCTCATCCACACCCACTCCCCCGCAACCCAAACCATCGTAGCCAACATAAACAGCCCCAGCACCGTCCCCACATAATGCACCTCCTGCTCGACGCCTCCCCTCCCCCTCCCACTCACCCCATCAACCTCTTGTCCAAACCCACACACAACCCTATTCTCACTCGTCACCCCGCTGCTCGGATCCAGGGGACTAACTTCCCCTCCCTCATGCATACTCTGCAGCAGATTGAGTGGGAGGGGCTTGGGGATAGCGAGTAAGGTGTCCATGGTGGTTTGGCTGGCGAATTGGATGGGGAGCGCGTTGGTGATGGAGAGGGAGAAGGCGGCTTCCCAGTCTAGAGTGAGCAGCTCTTGGTAGGAACATGGGGTTGGGGTGCGGCTGGTGGAGAAGGTGAGGCAGCGGCATTGGAGGTCTTCTAGTTGGGGTGTGGGGTGAGGTTGTGTGGGGGCGGCGAGAGATGCGCTGGTGAGGGCCATGATGGTGAGGAGGAGGGGGATTCGTCGGTTGGACGGCATGGTTGTTGTAGTGGTGTGTTCTGGTAGGTTGGATTGCTGTTGCGGTTGAAATCGCAGGCGTTGAATTTGGGCGAAACGAGGAAACCCAACGACTCTGGAATCGCAGCGGCGGAGCGGAGAAACCTCACGATATAGAGTCAACCTGCTGCTTTGGCTTGGAGGTAATATGGTCCAAGAGCTATGCGCTGCGATCTAGACCCTCGTTAGCGCAGCCCTCACTCTCGTATATCTGCTCCTCTTGATTAAGCGAAACAGACAACACCCTCAATCATCAACTCACCAATGAATATCTGCGTATACCTTGAAGTAACAATCGTCGTGAGCCACATGTGCAGTCGAGGGGGGCGACAGAAGTGGCTTATGAACCCGTTCGAAACAAGCGTGGGTATAAGCGTTGGAACCAGGGCATGTATGCGCAAGCTTGCATTCACCCTCGCGTGGCGCTAAACCTCGGTAACTTAACTGGGGGCCCAGATGCGTGAGTGAATATCACACGACATCCTTGCAGCGATCTTGACTTTCCCAGGCACATAATCAAGTCTCACACGACAGATTTCACGCTGCTGCATGAGCGGCCGCCCGGAAACGGTGGTCATCCTATACGCCGGCTCCGGCGAGCCAATAGCTCCGATACATAGTCACATTCCAGCTTCAAGACCGTCTCCAGAAGGAACACCGGTACGGTGTCGTCGCACGCGCTATTGTTCCACACGTTTCGTGAGAGGAGCATAGTGCCGGTGATAATTGCCTAGCTCAGCCACACGTTTCTGTGCACGTTGCGAGGGAGGTAGGCGGTATTGGTCCCTGATCGACTGGTTTGCGGCTGCGATGGGGTTAGTGCGTGCGCTCGACGCGTCTGTGCTTGTGGCTTGAATCGACGCGCTGGCGTCAAAAGGGCTGATAATGCGCGAAACAAATCTGGAAGGTTACGAGAGTGGTTTGGGGGGTTCTGGGGATCGTGCTACAGTGTCGGAGCCGGGATCAGCTGGCTGAGTGTGCCGTGTCGTGAGATGTTGCCTGATGTCTTCTTCCAGGCAGATTGTTTGCTGCGTGCAACCGATGCCACGAAAGCAAAGTGTTGCAGGTATGCCCATGTATACAAGCTAAGCAGCAAATCGCCTAATCAAAAAGTGCCATCTCCAAGCTGATAGGAGCAACGCCTCCCCGATCGTCACCAGCCATGATACCAAGCTTTCCTAGACACCTGTCAAAACGATACCAAGCATTCTCAAAAAGCTTATCCCTCCACAAACCCTGACGCGCAAGCCACGATATTCCCGGCTCTCAGACCATGCAGCCCTTCAAAATCCCTCACCCCCCTTCCCTGTCCGGACGCAACGTGCCTTCCGAAAGCCTAATTCAGTTTCGAAACCGACCCTACCCTACCTATCACAGCCCCCGCAGCGTATATCGGACCATTTAGACCTGCGTCGATAACACCGCGGACCGGCGTAGACTCCGAAAGTCCAGTTCGCGAATAATTACAATTCTGGGTGAGTGCGTTTGGGAACACGAGATGGCTAGCGGGGCAAGCGCCGACGTGGTGCTGGGTTAGTGGCTGAGGTGACGACGCAAAAAGAGGCGCAGGTTTGTGTGGTTCAATTTCTTGACCAAGCCGGTGTGTGTTAGGCGTGCTGGAAAGGGCCGTTGGGTAACCGGATGGGGAGCTTGGTAATTCGTTGGGTTGGGGTGAGATAGCGTGGATGATTAAGTACTAACGATCTTTTTCACATACGGTGCATACGGTGCATACGACTCAAACATGGCAACGTGGAAAAGAACTGCAAGTCTACCGCAAAATGCCTCACAAAGCACGCCACTAGCCGTTGAGTAGGTCCTTTCTTCTCTTCCTTCCCGTCTTCTCATACCCACAACAGGATCATCACTACCGCCCAATCCTCCCTACCATCACGTCGACAAACCTCTCATATTCCCTCTACTGAATCAACAACGAGCCCCAAACCCAGGGCCTAAAGCTAGTGCCGTGACATACATTACCGCGTATAGCATATCTACCGTAGAAGGAGCGAATTCGGCGGTATTTCTCCAGGGTGATCAGCGCGAGGTTTCGTGGGAGATGTGGCTGTTTCCAAGCGATCGTGGACGAGGGGTAGGCTTTGTAATGGGTTTTACCGGTGGGTCGTCGTGTCCTCTCGGCCAGGGAGAGGCAGGTTGATGGCATGAGGACGAATCGGTATATGGAGAGTGGGAGCAGGCACGCTGAATGCGCGTATGAATGTGAAGATTCCTGTTACGACTATGAGTGGGTGAGGTACTGATGGGAACACTGGGGAGCTTGTGTGATGCGCAGGGGGGTTTAAGGGGTTAGCTAGGTGGTAACGATATTTTTGTCGAATTACCTTCATCTAAACACACATAATATAATCAGAGTAACAGCGTTATTGTTGCTCTGTCATGACCTCTCCACTGGTCGCAACAATGCTACCACAGGTGGATTACGTAGGAAATTCTGTCAGCCTGTATGCTCTCGTAGCTTTCGACGCGGGACTCTTGACAAGAGATCGTGCGATCGTGACCAACGACGCACAACGTTGAATACAGTACATCCCACTGAAATCGCGCTGCACCCACTCGAACATAAGCGCCAACTTGCAAATCATACCTTCGAAGTATGAGTCCCCAAACATGGGCGGCTGGGCCTTTCGAAACTGTGACAGGCATGAAGAATCCGTCCAACTGGCCTCCATAAACGAAGTCTGGGTACAATATTCCGTTCACTAGTCGGGGGCCCAGCTTAATCCTAGAAGTTCCCGTCTCGTCGATCAATGTGCTTAGTCTACACAGGTGACAGTTCACTTTCAAAACGGGCATGGCCCCCCAGGAGGCGTCGAGAACCGCGGAGAGATCAGTTGCTTCTCTTCGACCTTTGAAGTACCACCCATACGAAGGATTGGTCCTTTTCTTCGAGCCACTGACATCAGAGGTGGGATGGAGTGTCATCCAGCATGCGCCTATTACTTCCGCTATTACCATGCCATTTGGCGCGCGGATTGCGGTACAATTGACTGCGGAATTGATTGAAAGCCAGGACCAGGATGATCCAATGTAAGGCTCTTCTCCTGGCGGTGCATCCAATGTACGAGCTACTGGTACTCCAGGGGTTGTCGAAAACCACACCAATTCCCGGGGCAGATTCTGGGCCCACATGCCAACAACATAGCTCATGCCACTTAAATCTGCGAAATGCTTTGCGACACCTGCGATTGCAATCATTCTGTCGCTGCTGAAAGATAATTTGGTCTTCGAATACAAAGAGGAGATTTGGTACCAGTCGGCTATAAAGGACTCCATAGTAGTGATCCGGTACGAAGGTAAAGGCCTTGTAGTCGCCGTACAGACAGTTTCGCACCTGACACACTCTCGGCACTCCCAGAAAAGTTGCTGTCTTCCGAAATACAATATCCGGGGGGATAGTATTCTCTCTTGAACTACCCAGCCACGTTGGCAAAGCCGTGCTTGGTGCAGATCAATGTGAAAAGCGTCACGATCTTCTAGATCGAAATTCCAGGCGGAACTAAGATTGCTTTCCAAACGCATGGATATCTTTGTCGGCACCACAGAGTGTTCTGCTCTCTCAAAAAAGAGCCCACCCATACTGTCGTGAGCTCCTAGAGCAGCAATGTTGCAGTAAGTATTTTGGTAGACCTGATTCATGAGCGTCGATTCCCTTTTCCAGTCCTCCTTAGAACCTTGGATGATGCACAGACTGTCAATCCACAAGAAGCGGTTTCCTAGACGTTGCGTGACTGATATAGCATCTCGAAAGGTCTTTGAGAGACTGGAAACTTCCAATCCAACCTCGGTATATTCTTTGTATGTTTCTGGGGTCAAGAGAACTGGCGATTTGCCTCCCCAACAGTGGCTCAATGTCAGATATCTCTCAGGTCCTGGGTTCTTCGCAGTTTCCACAATTTTGATGTGCTTGCCGCACGAATCAATCTCAATCAACCGTGTCGGCATCCAGGTTGGGTCCACGAGTACATTTTGACACTTGCCATGAGAAGTGACGCAGTCATCTAGCCACCGCAGAGCGGTCGACCATGACTTCGGGTTATCTGTCCGTACTATATTCACATGAGCCTTCTTCTCATGTATGGCTGTGTCTGCACTTTGGTCTTCTTGCGGCGGCTGTTCGTCTGTTTGGAGGTTACCTGGATCCAAGGTCAGAGTATATCATAACAAGGGTTCCAGCAATTTACCAGCCAAATGAAAGATCCGGAGCAGAGGAAGCTGCTCGACTCCTTTCCGCGCCTGTATCATTATAGGCCCCGATTCTGTGAGCTCTGTTCGAAAGCCCTGTTCGTCCAAGTTTGTATAATCCTGTCGCAAGGACTGTTTAGACATGAAACGCAGGACTATCCGACAAGATTGCTCGCTATCTTTGATGAGGACGCTCGAACAGGTGATAAGTGGGTCTGTGTCTTGCGTCTCTGTGTCTACCCGATTCATGTCCAGGCCTTCGGCTAGTATGCTGCAAATTGGGCATTGATCAATGACCGCTTGCGTAAGTTTTTCCTTAGTAGTATGGGGTAGGTCGAATAGATATCTTCCGGGACAGGGGTTCGTAGAGTTCGCGTGCTCATGATTCAAGAAGAATATAGGGTAGATAACGTTCAAGCATGAGGGACAGAAGGCCTTATTAAACGTGAACTGGCAAGATTCGCTCCGTGATGCGTGTGTCGACTCGATAGAGGGTTGAGTAGTGCTTGGCCTAATTTCCCACACCTTACCAGGCTTGACTGCTTTGAAGTCAAAAGGTTGGTCGTAGAAGTGGGGGGGGTAGACCAGTGCTGTCGTCTGTACTGGAGGGAGCAAAGCTGGCGCTTCCTTCCAATGGTTGATCCGAAGTATTTGCAGATGTGCTGCCTCGCCGATAGTGGTCCCCTATTTTGCCAATGAATTCTGCCATCTTTGGGATTGAATGCAGCTCGAGGATAACC